CTAAATCTATCCCAGCCATGCAGTTGATCCAATGAAAAATATCACTTACACAAAATCCTTACCTGTTGCATATTTCCTACACCATCTTTCCAACACTACCACAATATCTTGTATTATATAATACTTTTATCAACATATTCTCAACATTTATCAACATCTAATACTTTTTCCAAAAGTAAAGACGCATTTAAAATTGAAGGTCCTCTCAAATGGGGCTATGCCTAATAGTATAATAAAAATGTGTTTATACATGGCTTTTTAAAAAGCAGTTGAAGAATACATCTGTAGTGTTACAAAGCAAATCAATATAAAATTAAAAATCTAATATTTTAGGTGACAGAAAAGTGTTAAAATTCTTTATCTGCTGTTCACATGGATTGTCCTCAAAGAGGGCAGCCAAAAAACCCCAAACTATTTAGATTTTCAACCCTGATGTACCTAAGATGCGTCTCAATCAAACCATCAAACTGCCCACTCCTGATCATTTACGGCTTTAATACTCTGCCAAGTCGATGTAATGAGCTTCTTAAATGCAACCATGTTTGTTAATTTCCTTAAGGATAATATACTATACCTGATTCATCTCAGAGCAGTTAAAGAGCATCAACTCCAAAGGCACATAAGCAGACAACTGAGGCAACTCAGTAAACATTTTCTTCTAAAACTCAGTTTCATTTTTATATAGTCTAAAATTAGGTTTCTTAGCAATGAATACATTTAAATGATTTTCAGGAACCAGGGATAGTAAGCATTTATGAAGTTCTTAGGTTAAGGAGTAAAAGAAGGTCAAACTGTTAGAGGAATATAATTAAATGAAAGATGTTTATTATTCTGCGACTATATACTTTAAGCAGAAAAAAATGCACAGTAGTAATATTATAGTATGTTCTTTCTAAAGAAAATGATTTATTTTAATGATCAAAATGGATGCTTATGATCCACATCAAAATGATCTCACCAGTAAGTTCAAGGTAGAATAGTATCATCTAAAATGGTTTAGAGATGTATAGAACATTCCAATAAACTCCTTGAGTTGCCGGCCCAGTTTTACTGAGACTACTTTCAAGATCTTCATATATATAGGGAGAGATAAGGTCTGGTTTATATGGAGATTTTCAAAGCAATGATATGGAGATCCAAATCCCATTAATTTTAATTTAATGGGTGCCAAAATCACTTTAAGTGTCTTTGAATTACTTAAACTATGATTTTTTTTAATGAGTTGGGATATCTTAAAACTTAATAAAAGTTCATCTTATATTTGGTTTAGTTTGAACTCTTTATAATATCTCACTGCTCCTGTACAAAACTATTAAAACAATAACAATATTCAGTTGACCACAGGCAATATTACTAAGGAGTCACCCATTGGTCCTAAACAGAAATTTCCCCATCAAAGACCTGGCCTTTAACATCATGCGAAGATGATCAATAGATAAGGCTTTGTCAGACCAAGCAAGGAAGTTAGTTTCAGTACTGAGAGCCCTACACAAAGCGAAAACTGTCCCTAGTTGTTGTCTAATGTCTATCCCCAAGATGCATCTCAAACCAATTATATCTGTCATTCTCTACATGTAAACTAAAATAGTGAGTCCACTTTGTATGTGCATACACTGTATGCGGTATATAGTTAGACCAATGTATTACAGTTAAATTTACCAGTACAAACTCATAAAAAGACCTTTTGATAGCTCTCCTGAGGCTCTAGTTGTTGCAATGCAAAAGATTTTTGTTCATGTGTAAAAGCTCTTTAAGCTTTTAGTATTTTTGTACATTAGCCATGCGCACACAAATTGTTATTGTCACTTACAACTGAACATTGACTCAAATATTTTAGAAAAACAAAGGGATTTATGTAATAATAATACTTTGCCTTGCTGCTCGAATCCCTCCACAGATCAGGAGAGTAAGAGCTCCTGTTTATTACAAAATGTTATACCTCTACAAAAATAATCTGAAGAGTAATGAAACAGATGGTTTCGTTAAAGGGGAGGGGGGGAGAGGAGGGCATTCCTTCCCAATACATCCTTTATTGTCCAATGTATCTGAAGCTATACAACTACTATCACATGGAATATTACTTCTTTCAGTCAAAAATGTCTGTAAGTTAAATAAATTTACAATTCATAAAGGCATCTCTTTTTAATAGTTCTTGGGGACCTTCTTACTTTTAAGAATGTATTTACATGCAATGTATAGTTGGCATAGACTTAAGAATAACTTAGACCTCAAACAGGAGTTCATTTCCAGTGGTCAAAATATTTGAGAAGTTTCCACTGCTAAGAATTGTTTCAGGACAGGGAGCTGTACATATTGTTTAACCTGCAGCTGAGCCTCCTCCCCAGCTCTCTGCACCTTCCCCAGACCACGATGCTCCTGGTCTGGAGAAGGCATCGGAAACAGCAGCTCTTCCACTCCTCCAGATCCTGAGGGGACTGGAGCAGCAAGGCAAAGCCCCTGCCTTTTCCCCAGACCAGGGACCCCAATACCCCCAGCTTCATGCTGATGCCCCTGCTGCCAGAGGGACAGTGATTTAAAATCTGACAGATGCTAGCACTGAACCTCTACATGGTGGGGAGATTCCTCCCATGCAGCAGGTTCAAAACTGGTGCCCAGTTCCCCCATGAGTAGAGGGAACAAGCAAGGCAAAGTCCCGAGCCTGTTACACAAACCAGGCAATCTCTGGTCTGGGGAATAGGCTGGGAGTCTTGCCTAGCTACTTCCCTCCCCTCCCAGACCAAGAAAGGAGCACACAAGCATACAAGCTGGGGAAACACTTTCTCTTGCAAGGGAGATACTTGAAAGATTTTTCTCCCAGAAGGGGCGTATTTCTCCAGGGAGAAATTGAATAAACATTTATTTGCTACCAGAAAAGCGGCAATTCTTGCAATAGAAATGTAACAGTTGTACGTGGCTCTAAACAGCACAATTCTGAAGTGGGACCTAAAACCCTGATATTTTAATATGAAATCTGAAAAATGCATTAATCAAGTTCCACTACAAAATTATGGGCTTAAGTGACTTTCATGATGCCAGGCTTATCCAAAGATATAGGAAATTACATCTTTAGCATTTGCACTGGTAATTACACATACTGAATACAAAAATTTGCATGTTCATAAAGGTATGCATGTCTCACTTAAAAATTTTCATCAAGTCCTTAGAAATGTTAAATACTAAATAGGCAATCCGAAATAGCCATTATTGTCTTGGTCTTTGCCTGTATTTTTAAAACACCCATACCAACTTAATTATCTTTACATTAAAATCATGCAATCAAGTTCATTGCACATAAAAAGGCATGCCAAAAAGAGAACAAAGTAAAATTGATGGATTCAAGTGAATAAAAATAAAGTACTAGAATGGAGTTGGGAAGATCATGCATTAAGATGAAAGATGAAACAGATGCAATACACAACAAAGATCAAAGAGCTCCATCAATTCATTCTGAGAGTCAAAATCCAGCTGAGCATCGGAGCCCTGTCCGCATAATCAGAAAGGTTGACTAAAACATAAGGATTAAACAGATGAGCTGTCTCCTGTGAATGTACGGCAGAGGAGTCCTGCTGAGCCACTTGTAAAGACACTTTGGAATTGTACACCTGCTACTCCACAGTAAAACCTACAGGAAGCCAGCCTGGCAGGAAAAAATATTCTACTAATGGACTAAATAGCTCTCTCTAGGAGAAGTGAAAGTGACCCAAACAAGAAATTTGCAGTTCAGAAAAATGACAACTTAACGTTTTTTGTCTTCCTCCCTCCCCCTTAGAATTTGCTTCAAATATTTTCATTTAAAAATGGATGTAAAGAAACATTGCTTTCATCTTCATATTCATTTACAGATGGAAACAAAAGCCTACTAATAATTGTACCTGTGATACAAGCCTCCATATCCACATAATAGTATCAGCCTAGGATTATTCACCAAAATATGAATACTTTGATCTGGGATCCTGCTAGCATGCTCTGAGCATCTAATATTAACTGACAAAACTTCTAATGCTTCAATAGTGCAGGATCAAGCCTTAATATCACCCTAAATAAAGTTATTTATAATATTAGAGACTTAAAATAGCTCTGTATGTAATCTCCTTTTTTTTCTTGCTCATACCAGTGGATTTAAATATATGGTAATTTAGCAAATATATGGTAATTTAGCAAATAAAAAGTGAGTTTAGGATTGTAATTATTCTCTTCTTTATTTTAGCAAGTAATGATAAGTCAAACTAGAAATATGTTAAAGTTACATGGTAGTTATGAAAACAGACCAAGCAAGGTAACATTTTCCAGTGATACTGGAATATACATTAAAATAATGTTAGTATCAAAAACAAATTTTAAACAACTCCCTATGATGTCCACTAGTTTTAGTTGCAAAGCTGATCCTACATATATTCTAGTATTTGGACAACAGCTAAGTCGTTAAAAATCTGTGCATCTCTTGTATGCTAGTGTCAGTCTTACTCTAAGTAATGGATCAAAAGTAAACCCTCAAGTCAAAAGTCTGTAACCCATACCTTAAAGCACGTATTGTATAAAGCAAAAGAAAATTGCAATAAGGTTGGAGATTAAGGCCCTATTTTTTTTTTTAAACCAGATGTCCAATTCCATTTTCACTAGTTGCTACAGGTGATTTCCACCCCCCCCAAATGTCACTAACCTGTTTGGCCCATGAGTGTTATTTACAACCACATCTTTTATTCCTGTTTTAGCTGACAGGACAATCTCTTAATGGATCTGGGTAGAGCAGATATATTTGATTTCCAGGTTATCTACTGCCTGCAGATATAAGCAGTTTGATTGTTTACAATGCAGGAGTAATTGGTAACAGTTAAATAACTCCACAGAGACTGATTTAAGAGTCCTTCACCTATTACATGAATGTGAAACTTCATTCTGCCTGCTCCATCCTGATGGAATTCCTTAGTAGACTTAAGTACAAAACGCAACACAGAAGATGAACAGATACAATCATATTTTAATGAACAATTACACACACATTAATCATAATTGTATTTATTTTAATCATTTATATTTACAGACCAAAAATTAAAACAAATTACAACAATTTTCCAAATTTGTGAAGAAATTTCAGAACACAGCTGCAAAATAAGCAACCACAGTAGCATAGGAAGTCAAATGGAATATTTATGCCCGTTCCTTTGAGCATACTGCACAGTGCACAACATTAATTAAAATGCTAAGACAAAGTATGAGAAGAAATGCTGCGAGGGAATAGTTGGCACTATCCTGGGTCTTCAACAGTCTTGCAGTATGCTTATGTCCTTTAAGCAGAGAGTGTTTTTCCAAACTAGTTTGGATTACTGAAAAACAGAATTCAATTACACCGAGATTATCCTAAGGGTCAGATGCTCTGGATACAAATTGAAATATCTTTGGGGGTCTGTTTAATCCATTGCTTTCTGATTGTGCATATTGGAACTAAATTTAATTTTCAATTAACATTTAGAAAATCATAAAAGTGTAAATATAGTCAAGTTTCAACGAAACAAAAAACAAAGCACTGTGATCTGTTTGGAAGAGGAGTTAACACAGCACTATCACTTCCTGTAGCCATTTTATGACCACTGAAGTTTTTTGCTACTTCACAAAATGATACGAATGAACAATATTGTTGCAGCTAGAGCACAAAGAACATGATAGATTTTGAAGGAATTGTGTTAAGAAAATATTTAAACAAAAACATTGCAGAGCAAAACGCAGTGCATTATGTGAAAAATAGGTGATTATGTAATTAAAAACTGCATCATAATGTGCCTGTTCAAAGTGGGAAAAATAATGTTGTGCCTGCAACCTCAGCATTGTGATTTCCTGAGTTATTAGGATATACATATGTTAATATGCTCCCAACTTTAAACAAAAGTTACCAGCTCCCTCAAAGTTTAACCCCCTGCCAAATTGGTCAGTTTAAAATTTTAAAAACCAGAATATTGTGACAATGTTTTTGTGAGTCTTCTTTTGACTGAAATGTCATGGACATTCCAAAGGTCCAAAGGGAAGAGCCCACATTGTAGTCTTTACAAACTGCATAACAAATGAGACTTGGTTTCTTGTGGACCTCTACTACACATGGGAAACAAAGCACAGTGCAATCGACTAGTGCCCCGAATAATATGAATACAATGCTATTTCTATAATTATACCCACACATGGGCAAATCACAATGGTGAAAGGGCAAATCACAAGCATTTTTACATGGACATTCAAGACATTTCTCTGGAGGGATAGCTGATACCTTGAAAAATTTCCACCTGCTACGCCAGCTGTTCTCATTTGGGAGCTGTCATGAAAGAAGGTCACAATAATTATTTCCATAGGAGAGAAATTGTTTCTCTCTCTCTTTAAAAGAGCTGGACAGTTTTGTTTAATTCTTTTTTTAAAATATCTGAGACAAGGGTCAGAAAATGAGTCCACGAAGAAGTGAAACTGGATTCAAAATTGTTTTTAGTTACTACCCAAGTCCCAAACTGAGAAAAATACCCTGGAATAAAAGGTGTTCAGTTGTTGGTATCTGCCAGTCACAAAAAACTATTTTTTAAAACTAAATAGCTATACACAGGAGCAATTTGTTCAGCAGATGGGAAAAATCTGACATTTGACTCTTCCAAGAGTGATTTCTTTACAACAAGAAGAGACCTTAACCATTTAAAAATATTTGCTCCAAAACAAGCAAAAAAGAGAAAGTCTCAATATAATTTCTCAGAATATTAAATTTGAGAACTATTATTAATCTACATTCCATATCAGGCTTAATATTTGGTACAGGAACATAATACTTTCATGTTTCAATATTTTTAAAAACTGCTCACAAGTATTTTGTTGACAGAAAGTGAAAGCAATGATAAGCCTCTGTTTTGTTTTTTTTAAGGTAGGCTTGACTAAGTTAGAAGAAGTCTTCATGAGTAATTTTGAGTTCACAAAATTTCAGTTTGTTTATAAAACTGCAAAGTTTACATCCACCTGTCAAAGAGATCCTCCAGAAAGTTCCGGTTAAGGACAAAAGGGGTGCCTAACTAGAATTGACCAACGGTCTAGCTAGCCCATTATTTTCTCTTACGGTGTCAGTGGTAAATAATTTAGAGCAGAGGTGCTCAACCCCTAGCCTGTGGAACAGATCTGGACCCACAGTGTTAACTGGCTCTCCGGGCTCCACGTAAGTCCTTGAGCATCCCATAGGCTGTGGCCCTGTGCACTAGATTGGATGCACAGTGTGGTGTGGGTTTCAATCCTGGCATGTGGGGCTAGCCAGAAGCAGTACGGGGCTCTAGGTTCCCAATCCCACAACAGGGCTGGACAGAAGTGGTGTGGAGCCCTGATCCTACCACACAGGGCAAGGTGGAGGTGGTGTGGGGCCTGGTCCCAGCATACAGGGCTGAGTGGAAGTGGCACAGGGTCCCAGAGGCAGATCTCAGCACCCAGGACCTAACGGGGTCATGCAGGGCTGAGCAGAGGTGGTACAGAGCCTGATCCCGGCAGGTGGGAGTAGCATGTGGTCCAATCCGTGTGCCAAGGTCAGCCAAAGTCACACAGGGACCCAATCATGGCATGCAGAGTTCAGTCCTGCCTATGAACCAGCCCCATGCCATTCATCTGGTCTGCAGGACCAAAAGGTTGAACACCCCTGATTTAGAGTGAGAGCATACGAATAGGGTATACCTACAGTGATTGATTAGTTGTCATATCCTCCCTGGCATTTACCATCACTGGTTTAGGAATGTCAAAGAATACAATCTATGACTGTAACCTTTATAATACATACCTATGATAGCCCATACAATTTCTAGCTTTCCAAATGAAAGCTACTGTTCTAGTAAAGCTATTAGGCTTTACATTTCTTCAGATTGAAGATAAGGAGAAAAAAGTTAATGCAAACTATTGCACTAAAAACTACTTTATAGATGGAGCAGTTGCCATTACCTTGTGGAATCCATTTAGTCAGTGCATTAATTTCTTTCATTTTTTCATTTCCATACTTTCCAGTCTGTCTGTGACTCATTTCTCCTGCTAGTCACACTTCATTTTTTAAAAATATAGATCAATAGGAGAAAAATGCTTTCTAAAAATCAAAAGACAATGTCAGATAATAGCAAGGAGAATTAATAATTTCAAAAAACAAGTGTTATCTTATAATGTGAATGCTAAAAACATATCTAAGAGATTTCTCTATGAATGCTTAAAGAGAAAGGCAATTTAACAAACACAAAACGCATCCATTTTAAATGGTATTACATCCTGGTTTAGATACCTATGCTCATAATAAAATGACAGCATATTCCATAGCGGCCTTACTGAAGTAGCGCCAGTGTAAGGGTATACATGGGGACCTACAGAAATCGTGAAATATCTGGCAAGGGGGAAAAAACTTAGTAAAAATAAAAATGCTGGTTCCTCAGAGGGAGCCAGCACCCCTCACAGTACTGCAGTCCGGTGGTGCAGCCCCCCAGAGGGGAAAAGGGGAGGGAGGGGCTGCCTGCACAAAGGGCAGTCCAAGGTGGCTGCCACCCCCACCTCTAACCACTGATTGGCTAAGGGCTTCCTGTCATGTGGCCCTGCCTGTCTCCAACAATTGGCAGAAAGGGGTGGGGCCACATGACAGGAAGCTCCTGCAACCAATCACCGGGGGGGGGAGTAGAACCACTGGGGCCCCTCAGCCAGTCAGAGGCATGGGGTGGGGGGAAAACCTGCTGGGATCAGCTCATGAATTTGATAAGTGGCCCCACAATCTCCCTGCAAAATTGGCCGGCTGCCTCCCTGAGTTAGGCAGACATATAGGTATGAGTCTGACCCAATATTAACAAACAGAAGAGCAGAAATAGCACTCTCAGGAACACTTGTTTGTAAATCTTTTACATCAGGGCAACTTGAAAGTAATTACTTCTTTTCTATGCCTAAACTTTTATCACCCTAGACCAAAAAAATTTAAAATATTGACTCTGTTTTTCAAATTTATTTTCCGTCAATAAAGATAGTATTTTAGACTTAAATTATCTACTTATGTGTACTTTAGTATGCAAAACACTATATTTTGTGGTCATTTCTGAGTTTGTGCTTATGCAGATGAATTACTAATTACTTGCATATTTCCAGATGATTTCAGACACCAGCTCCTATAAATATGTTCACACTTGCCTCACCACTCAGTAATGACAATGCATCTACAGTAGTTTTCATTATCTCAAAAATGCTTTGGCTTCATCAGCAACAGATGAATTCATTAATTTCTTTACTAATTCAAATGATTTTTTTCAATTTTTATATGCCCCAAGGTTGTCTCAGCAAGATCAGCTCCCTCTGTTGCATAAAATTGTAATCAATCTCTATTATAGTCATGAAAATGGGATTTGTCATTTTACTGAAGAAAAAAATAATCAATATGTCTTGCAGGGCAGAACAGGCATTTAATACAGTGAATTGATGCCTGTTAGAGAAATTTAGCTTGCCAGTGGTTTGGGACAAGCTAATAGAAATCCAGAAAATTCACTGAAGGTTGACAGATGAATACACAGACATGCCACAAAAATTAATATTTGGGCATTTCAAATGGTCTGTCATTTCATATACAGGAGAGAAAATAGATTTAGACAGGCAAATCCCAAAAGAAATTCCTTTCCTTTTTTAAAAGACAAAAACCTAAAAGCAAGTACAGAAAGAGAATTCTTATCTGTATTATGTTTGTATTGCATATATTCCTAATAAGTAAATCTTCTACTGTACTTCTAGTGTTGTCTTTCTGACGCAACAGATACTCTGCTAAAAGCATTGTTGACTTTTTAGCAGCAAGTGAATACAAAAGCTGTGGTTGTACTGAATACCTAAACACGCTGGAAATCAAAGAGTCTTGTGGGGAGGAAGGGTTGCTTTTATATTGAAAAATTAACAACTATGCCTCATTGCATTTTTGAAAGTAGTCTACTGGAACGTAAGGAAAAAAAAAAAAAAAAATCAATAGATAAAAAAATCTTTTACAACCTTAAATTTGGAGAAGATTCAGGCATAGGTTTAAG